TTTATTTTATGTGCATGAGTGTATTACCTGCCTGTATGTGAATGCACCCATGTCGTGCAATGCCTTGGAAGTCAGAAGAGGGCTTTGGATTCCCCTGGAACTGGAGTTAAGGACAGTTTGTAGCTGCCGTTTGGGTGCTGGGAATCGAGCCTGGGTCCTCTGCAAGAGCAGTCAGTGCTCTTAACTGCTGAGCCATCTTTCCAGCCCCTGTTTTCTTTTTATTACACTTAGACATTTATGGGACTGGAGAGGTGGCTCAGTGCTTAAGAGCACTTACTGCTCTTACAGAGGACCTAGGTTCAGTTCCCGGCACCCCTACGGTGGTTTGCAACCATCTGTAACTCCAGTTCCAGGGGGATCCAGCACCCTTTTTTGGCTTCTGTGGGCACTGGCATGCATATGATGCACATATATACATTCAGGCAAGCACTTGTACACATAAAATAAAAATTTTGAAGTCTTTAGAAAAAGTTGATGAGGCTGGATGAGGTGCATGCCTGTAATCTCAGCACTACAGAAGCAAAGGCAGGTGGATCTCTCTGAATTTAAGGCCAGCCTGGTCTACGTAGTGAGTTCCAGGCCAGCCAGAGCTACACACTGAAACCATTTCTCAAAAAAAAATTAATGATGACAGGCTAAGCATGGTGGTGCACGCCTTTATTCCCAGCACTTGGGAGGCAGACACAGACAAGTCTGTGAGGGCAAGGCCAGCCTGGTTTACACAGAAAGTTCCAGACCAGCTGGGGCTATATAGTGAGACCCTGTCTCAAAAAAAAGGATTGATGATATAGAAATTATACCTTTTATAAATGTCTCAAAGATTGGCAGTCTAGATTTGATAATCTTGTTAATAGTCACAGCTTTAGGAAAGTAACAGCACTTTGCTTTTGTATGATATAGTGGAGCCATCCAGGTAGGTGACAGTCATGTGGATACAAATGGAGAAATTGGAACCATGATGTAGATAACTACTTTTTGTGTGAATTATTGGAAAGCTCTTTGATTTTTAAAATTATGATTATTGCATATTAATTCAAAAATGTATGGGTTTTACTATGATGTTTCCATATATGTAAATATCTTACTTCCAACCTCTTTCTTGCCCTGTCTTTCCTCCTCCTAGTCTCCTTTTCCTTTGCTAATAGTCCATAGTCATGCATTTTCATCTTTTGTTGCTTAGTTTCCACATTTAGAGAAACATGCAATATTTGTTTCTCTGTCTTATTTCATTCAACATGATGGTCTCCAGTTCCACCCTGAACATCTTCCTATAGAAATAACATGATTTCATGATTATTTACTTCATTATAGTATGTATAAAATGATTGATTTTTTTCATTGATTCTTTGTGTGTGTGTGTGTGTGTGTGTGTGTGTGTGCAATTCACACAGAATATCCCAATCTTAATCATCTTTATACCCGCATCCCAAATGGCCCCCTCCCATAGCCTCCCCACCCTGCCCACTGGAGCCCATATACTCTGTCGTCCCTGTTACTGTCCACTGTGTTGTCAGTGTCCTCAGCCGTTCCCCAGTGCAAGTCCATCCGCTGAATCTAGTCAGCCTATCTAGAGTCCCTTGTTTTAGGAACATCAGCTCTTCCTCATCTAGCTGCAGTCAGTTGCCAACATTCCTTTAGATAAGATTGGGGTCTGCTGTTCATTTTCCCAGTTCTATGCTGGGTTACTGTCTGGGAGTCTCTTGGGCCCCTCTGGCCAACAACCCAAAGGAAGATGTCTCTTGTCTAGCATTGTTTCTTGTTATATAGCCTTTAGATATATACATGGACTCTTAAAGAAATATACTGATCACTTTAATCTTTGGTTATACTTTTCCTTTTGTGTATATAAGACCATATAGTTGGCCCAAATAAACCAATTTATTTATTCATTAAAATTTTTTTAAATTTTATGTGTACGGGTGCATTGCCTGCATGTATGTGAGTGCACCTGTGTCGTGCAACGCCTCAGAGGTCAGAAGAGGGCTTCAGATTCCCCTGGAACTGGAGTTAAGGACAGTTCGTAGCCTCCATGTAGGTGATGGGAATCAAACCCAGGTCCTCTGCAAGAGCAGTCAGTGCTCTTAACCACCGAGCCATCTCTCCAGCCCCATACCAATTTATTTTTACTCTTAAGGTTGTTTGAGGATCTGTTCCTCAGGGGTCACATGGGCTTGGGAGGAGCCCCTGGCTCTTTACCAGTTCAATCTATGTGAAGTCAAAGGTCCTGCTCTACCATGGCTGGCTTCACTTAGAAGCATGGAGGAAATGTTTCCTCTGTGTTGACCCTTCTCTTTGTAGGCTGGACACTGGGTCAAGTCCATCTGGTGGAGTCTCCAGGGCCTCCCTTTACAAGAGGGCAGATAACTCACCACAGTTACAGGACATTTTGAGAGATGCTCCATAGTCCCCTGGAGCTTAGTCAACCTCGGAGGGCAAGGAGCAAAACCTGTCCTTTAAGTCCCTCTGACCAGATTAGTAAAGGCCAAAAGTATGGCTGTTAAATATTTAAGAGGGTCTCTCTGTAGCCCCAGCTGTCCTGGAACTCACTATGTAGACCAGGCTGGCCTTGAACTCACAGAGATCCGCCTGCCTCTGCCTCCAAAGTGCTAGGATTAAAGGCGTGCGCCACCACGCCTGGCCCTTCAGTCTGGTACTTTTAATTACTATGCACTATGTAGGTAAAGCTTGGACAAAAACCAAACCTTGAGTAGACATATGTTTTGTTCCTTGAACTAGTTGTATGTATAATTTGTCAGTAGGTTGTTGGACTAATATGGTTCCCTCTGTCTTTTTCTTTTTAAAGTTTTTATTTTTGTTTTATGTGTATGAGTACATGCACAATGTTCAGTGTAAGTGAAGTGTTCAATGACTGTGGAGACCAGAAGAGGGCATTGAACGGGGTACAGATGATGTTAGCCATCATCTGGGTATTGAGAACAGAACCTGGGCTCTCTACAAGAGCAGCCAATGGTCTTAACCACCGTAGCATTTCTCCATCTCCCATACCATATTTTCTTTATCCATTAGTCTGTTGATGGACATGGAGACTGATTCCGTATCTTGGCTCTTATGAATAGTAACATGAAAAATACGGATTTTGTTGTTGTTTTCTGTTGACCACATTTCCTTTTGATAAACACCCAGCAGTGGTAAAGCTGGACCATATACAGTTCTCTTTTTAGTCTTTCAAGGATCCATCATACTGTTTTACATAGTAGCTGAACCAATTTACATTCCTACCAGTAGTGTATAAAGGTTCCTTTTTTGCTATTTGAGATGGGATCTCCCTGTAGCCCCACCTGACCTGGGACTTACCATACTGACCAGATTTCACAAATATCTACCTGCCTCTGCCTCCTGAGTGCTGGAATTAAACGTACGCACTACCACTCTTGGATAGGGATCCTTTTTTTCCACCTCCTTGCCAATTAATTTGTTAATTTTTGGTTTTTCTTAATACCCATTCTGATTAGGGTAATATGAAATCTCAGTATATAGTTTTAATTTGCATTTATCTGATAACTAAGGATGTTAATGTTGAATTTAAATATGTTATATATATGTATATATTGACCATTTGTACTTTTTTGGAGGGGGGTCTTTTTAAAGACAGGATCCTATGTATCCCAGTCTGACCTTAAACTCTGCCTACAATGACATTGAACTTCTGATCCTCCTGGCTCTACCTCCTGAGTATGGGAGTTAAAGAAATGCCATGCCTTGCTTTACATGGTGCCAGGAGTCAATTCTGGGGCTTCATGCATGCTAGGCAAGCAGTCTGTCAACTCAGTCCTATCCCTAGCCCTCTACTTCTTTTAATAAGTATCTCTTCATATCATTTGCCTATTTTATTTTATTTTATTTTATTGGATTATCTGTTATTTTGATGTTGCCTTGTTTTTTTTTCTGGTCTTTTTGAGACAGGGTCTCCCTGTAGCCCCAGCTGACCTGGAACTCACTATGTAGACCAGGCTGGCCTTGAACTCACAGAGATCTGCCTGCCTCTGCCTCCCAAGTGCTGGGATTAAAGGCGTGTACCACCATGCCCAGCTTGATGTTGCTTTCTAAAAAATTTTTTATTTTATTATTTTTATATGTATGCATGTATTGCCTGCATGTAGGTAAGTGTACCCATGTCATGCAATGCCCGGGGAGGTCGGAATAGGTTGTCAGATCCCCTGGGACTGGAGTTATGGACAGTTGTTAGCTGCCGTGTGGGTGCTGGGATTCGAACCTGGGTCTTCTGCAAGAACAACCAATGTTCCTAACCACTGAGCCATCTCTCCAGCCCTTGATGTTGCTTTTTAAAAAAGTATGACTAGCCTGACATGGTGGCACATGCCTTTAATTCCAGCACTTGGGAGGCAGAGATAGGTGGAGCTCTCTAAGATCAAGCCAGCCTGGTCAACAACAGTGAGTTCAGGCCAGCTGGGGCTACAGGGAGACCCTGTCTCAAAAAGACCCTCCCCCCCCCAAAAAAATATATATATTCATATATATATGACTTTAGAATTCTTTTTTTTTTCCTCTTTGATGTACTGGTGATTGAACCCAGGACCTTGCACCTACTAGGCAACGGATCTACCACTGAGCTTCACCCTCAGCCCTAATGTTATATTTTTTGAGTTCTTTATATATTTGGGATATTAATCATCTGTCAAATGAAGTAGAAAATTTACTCAAGACAATAGTGCCTCAAAAAACTTGGCAAGCCAGTCTTAAGATCTCTAATAAGAACTGTGAGTTCTAGGCCAGATGATCTACATAATAAGACCCTGTCTCCAACAAAAAAGGCTTGGCAATTTGTACTGTCTGCTAAGAAGATGTAAAGCTTGAATCGTTACCAAAACTCATTTATTTCAGACAGCTGTTAGGTTTCTGCATAAATGTTGGCAACAGTCTGATATAGAGACAATATACAGTCAGAAGTTAGATTGGATATGGCCATTGTGTTTTCTCAGCAAGTGTGAAAGCCATCTTTTCTCCTGTATGTACTCTAGGAGCAGCTATCTCAAGTTCTCGATGCCATGTTTGAAAAGATAGTCAAAGCTGATGAGCATGTCATTGACCAAGGAGATGATGGAGACAACTTTTATGTCATAGAACGGTAGGAAATGAAGCCTTGTCATTGTTTAGCCCTACTTTATTGGATTTGTAATTCACAACAAATGCTTTATCCTATGCTGTATTCAGCCTAGCAAGGTTTAGGGCCAGGTGAACAACCTTCCCAAGGCCTTTCAGTAGATCACAGCCCTCTATCTATGCTGTCCTGAGCTCTTAGTACAACCTGTTTGGGGAAATACAACATAATAGTTGAAAAATCTTCTTTATATAAAGTTTGTTAGAGAATGGCAGGATGTGCTTTATAAACGTTATTTGCCAGTGTTCAGTTGAATTGATTCCCTAAAGAATATTTTTTACTTTGTATTGTCATGTGGCTCTTTGATTTCTGGGTTACTTTTAAACATGAATATACTACCCTGATCTCCATACCCTCAGCCCCTTCTGATTCTGTATCAAGTATAAACCATATTAAGAAAACCAAAGTGGTTAGGTTTACCTGCGTGACTTGCCTGCCTCCTAGCCTTTTGATTTGATAGTATTCTCTTGAGCTGGGATGGGGGTTTCTTTTAATTCCCTGTCAGTCCAGAAAGGAAGAGTCTCATTAGAGTTTAAAGTAATAAAATGTTATCACAAATCTATTCTCTTGCCAGATGTGGTGGCACACGCCTTTAATCCCAGCATTTGGGAGGTAGAGAGATCTCTGTGAGTTCCAGGCAGGCTGGTCTTCATAACAAGTTCTAGACCAGCCAGGGCTTGCATAATGAGATCTTGTCTCAAAAAAAAAAAAGAAAAATCCATGTTCTTAAATTATTAATTTTTTTTCTTTTGAAGTAATTTCAGAGTTAATAAAAAATGTACACAAATCAAATAGAAAATTCTTATAAACCCAGGCTTCCACACTAATGTTGTAATCATAGTTGGTTTATCAAGTTCTTAAAAGAGTAAGTTTCAGCCAGTCATGGTGCCACACGCCATTAATCTCAGCTCTCGAGAGGCAGAGGCAGGTGGATCTCTGTGAGTTCAAGGCTAGCCTGGTCTACATAGTGAGTTCCAGGACAGCTGGGGCTACAGGGATACCCTGTCTCAAAAAAAAAAGACCCGGGGGATACACACCTGTAATCCCAGCACCTGGGAGGCCAAGGCAAGAGGGTTAGTGGTTCAAGGTCATCCTCAGCTACATAGCAACTTTAAAGTTAGCTTGAGCTACATGAGACCCTGACTCAAAACAACAGTGACAACAAAGTAAGTTTCAGATACAATGCTTCTTTCTTTCTGAATACTCCCATCTGCATTTCCTAAAAATAAGGACATGCTCTTTCTCTTAGGCTCCTAACTTTTTGTTTGTTTTTGAGACAGGGTTTCCGTTTAACCCCAAATAGCTTCAGACTATCTATGTAGATCAGGCTGGCTGGCCTTGATCTCACAGAGATCCACCCACCTCTGCCTCCTGAGTGCTGGGTAAAGGTTTGCACCACCATCCCTGGCATATAATAATTTTTTAAAAAGATTTTTTATGTAACTCAAGCCACCTCAAAAAAACATTTTAAAGTCAAACATTTAAAAATATTTTATTATTTTTATTTTATGTGTATGTGTGTATTGCCTGCATGTAGGTAAGTGCACCCATGTCATGCAGTGCCCTCGGAGCACAGAAGAGGCTGTCGGATCCCCTGGAACTGGAGTTGGACAGACAGTTTTTAGCTGCCATGTGTGTGCTAAGATTTGAACCCAGGTCTCCTGCAAGAACAGCCAGTGTTCTTAACCACTGGGCCATCTCTCCAGCCCTGCATATAATTTTTTAAATTAGAAGTGAACATTTATACATTACATATAGATGTTATTCAGAATTTTTTCCAATTTTTCCCCTGATTTTTGAGATTCTTTTATTGACTTCCATCGAATAACTGCTAAATTCAGTTTCTTATCAAAACTTTGCTGGTTCAAGTTTTTTATTTACATTTATTTGGTTTGTGTGTATATGTGCAAGGATGCACAGAGGTCAGGGGACAATATCTAGGAATCTCTTATCTTATTCTGCCTTGTTAGTTCCAGAGATCAAACTCAAGTCATCAGCTTTAGCAGCAAACAGCTTTATCCACCAAGCCATCTCACTCGCCCCTGTTCAAAAAATTTTGTTTTAATTTTCATCTGTGTGTGTGTGACAGAGAAGCCATCAGATGCCCTGGAGTTGGAGTTATAGGCAGTTGTGAGCCCCCTGACATGGATGTTTGGCACTGAACCCAGATCTTCTGCAAGAGCATTCAGCACTTTTAATCTCTGAACTCCCCATGCCCCCTGTTCAAATTTTGAATGAATAATTTTACCATTCCCTAGTTAACTTTTAGATTTTTGATACTTGTGACAAATTATTACAATCAAAGGAAATTTTTTTATTTAAATAATAAAGGTAATATGAATAATACCTTGTTGAAATGGGAAGATAACACCATTGGTAAAGTGCTTGCCCTGAAAGCAAAGAACAGGCCCTGAGTTAGATCCCCAGAACCCAAAATTTAAAATTGCCAGATGTGGTAGTATATCCTTGCTATCCCAGATCTGGTGAGGCAGAGACAGATCTTTAGGGCTTACTGACTGGTCAGCCTAGCCTGCCTGGTGAACTCCAGGCCTGTGAGAGTTCCTGTCTCAACAGACGAGGTACAACTGGAACTCAGTAGTAGAGCACTTGATTATCAAACCCATGAGGCCCTAAGTTCAGTTCCCAGTACCGAAAAAATGGGACTGGAGGACAGCACCTTGAGGAACAACATACCACTCAAGGTTGTCCTCTGGCCTTTACACACATGTTCACAAACATGCACTCACACATACATAATCATGAACACATAAAAAAGTATCTCAAAGCTGGGCGTGGTGGTGCACGCCTTTAATCCCAGCACTTGAGAGGCAGAGGCAGGCAGATCTTTGTGAGTTCGAGGCCAGCCTGGTCTACATAGTGAATTCTAGGACAGCTGGGACTACAGGGAGACCCTGTCTCAAAAAAGACCAAAAAAAAAAAAAAAGTATCTTAAAAGATTTTTTTTAATCTTTATTTGATACACTATTCTTTCTTACACAGAAATTCTGTCAGTTTTTTAAGTTAGATCACCATACCCAGCAACCGCCTTACACCTTCTTTGTATTCCCCCATCGAGACAAAAGTCCCCATTTTTTTTGTGGGCCGAAAATATATATCCAGAGGCTTGGGGAGATGATTCAGTGAGTCAGTACAGTGCCTGCCAAACAAATATGAGAACCTGACTTCAGATCCCCAGCATCCACATAATAACCAGGCATGGTGGTATAACCCCAGTTTTGAGGGGTTGGGGGATGGAGACAGGTGGATCCCTGGATCTCATTCATCAGTCAGCCTAACCAAATTGATGAGCTTCAGAAGGTTTAGTGAGAAACTCCTGTCTCAAAAAAAAAAAAAAAAAGCTATCTGAGTTTCAATCCCAGAATCTGCATAGTGGAAGGAGAGAAGTGAATCTAGCAGGTTGTCTTCTCATGTGCACACACACGCAATGAAAGAATGAATGAATAGAAATGAAAAATGTTTTGAAAAATTAATAAGATGGAGATATATTTGCATATCGGCTAGCATTTGTGTTGTTTGAACTCCTTGTCTATACCAATAGAGAGGGAACCCAAGCATTCTTACCAGCTTGCTCAATTTTAGGGCAGAAGAGAAATGAGTGAGGGAGTAAAAGATCTTGAAAGCTATCAAAAAACAAACATCAAAAATGGAATCATAGCAAAAACCCAACATAGAACTGGTGAAGTGAACAAGAAACCCCAACTTTAACCAAGGAATTATTGGTAGCTGATCACTGCTAGGTGAGGGAGAGTTGATCTTCTTTAAGGGAGCTGACCAGGCTTACACCGAGAGACATCTAAGCACACAAATTTGACTTGATAGGCCTTAAAATAGATGATAGAGCTGGGCGTGATGGCACACGCCTTTAATCCCAGCACTTGAGAGGCAGAGGCAGGAGGATCTCTGTGAGCTCAAGGCCAGCCTGGTCTACATAGTGAGTTCCAGGTCAGCTGGGGCTACAGGGAGACCCTGTCTCAAAAAACAAAAAAACGACAACTCTTCTAGCCTGCACATGCACCCTCACACACATAGCATTCATTCACACAGCATACACACACATCATTTTTTTTTAACTTTAAAAAAAATTTATTGAGGGCTGGAGAGATGGCTCCGTGATTAAGAACACCAACTGTTCTTACAGAAGACCCAGGTTCAAATCCCAGCACCCACAGGGCAGCTAACAACTGTCCGTAACTCTGACAGCCTCTTCTGTCCTCTGTGGGCATTGCATAACATGGTACACTTACTTACATGCAGGCATAACATTCATACACATAAAATAAAAATAATAAAATACTTTTTTTAATTTATTGAGAATTTTATACACGCACATAAGGTGTTTTGATCAAATCCACGCCCACTCCCTCCCCTCCATCTCCTCTGTATCTCCCCATCACTTTTTCCTGACATCTTGTACTTTTTCTTTCTTTCTTTTTTTTTTTTAATGGACTTTTTGCTACTCTAACATTCCTCCTTCTGAAGAGGTAGCCCTAAACTCTTTCAGGGATTAGATAAGAGCTCCCAAATACCTTTGCCATTAAAAAAAATATTTTATTATTTTTATTTTATGTGTATGCAATGTATTGCCTGCATGTAGGTAAGTGCATCTGTGTTGTACAATGCCCAAGGAAGACAGAAGAGGCCATCATATCCCCTGGAACTGGAGTTACAGACAGTTGTTAGCTGCCATGTGGGTGCTGGGATTTGAACCCAGGTCTTCTACAAGAACAACCAGTGTTCTTAACCACTGAGCCATCTCTCCAGCCCAAATACCTTTGACATTTTTGTTCAGCATGGAAGAAGCCAGATCTGTCTGGGTCCTGTAACCTCTTCAGTGGATGGTGTGATAAGAATAGGAGGTTGGTGGGGGTGTGATGGCGCACACCTTTAATCCCAGCACTTGGGAGGCAGAGGCAGGTGGATCTTTATGAGTTTGAGGCCATCCTGGTCTACATAGTGAGATCCAGGACAGCTGGGGCTACAGGGAGACTCTGTCTCAAAAAAAAAAAAAAAAAAAAAAGAATAGGAGGTAGGAATTGACTAGACAATTAGGGTAAAAAGACCCAAAGAAAAGTAGCCAGTTTCTTGGCTGAAAGTCAAAATGTCCTATGGTCTCTTAGCATCATACTCTGTTCCAAAGACATCAATTTTTTTAATGGAGTCAAAGGCTGAGTGTGATAGTACCTGCCTTTAATCACAGCACTCAAGAGGCAGAAGCAGGTAAGATCTCTGTCAGATTGAGACCAGTCTGGTCTACATAGTGAGTTCTAGACCAGATGGGGCTACAGGGAGACTCAAAAAACAAAACAAGAAAAGGAGTCATTATTACATTTTCATTGAGCCATACATTATCTGATCTTCAAAGTATATTCTAATCATTTTGTCATAGAATGCAATATAGTTCTGTCATCATTTTTAATGATTGCATAAAATAGATATAAACATATTTGACCAGGCTGGTGAGGTGGCTCATACCTGCAAGAATTCAGGCCGAGGCCAAAAAATCAGGAGTTAGAGGCCAACCTGAGTTATGTTGCAAGACCCTTCCACTCCTAAAAAAAAAACCCCGAAGACTGAGAATAAGAAAAGGATGCTTGTGTTCTCCATTTCCAATCAGTATGTTACTGGATGGCCTAGCTGTGTAATAAGGCAAAAGTAAAGGAAAAAAGCGCATAGAGACTGGACAAAAGTAAAATTCTTTTGGGATAACCACATAACATGATCTTATGTAAAAAATCTGCAGAATTGCTACAAAAAAGTTACTAGAGAGTTTAACATGGTCATACTTACTACAGAGTCAAATGCAAAGATTCTTTGTATATTCTAGCAAAATTCTTTTGGAAATCCTCTATTATGTTTTGTTTTTGTTTTGTTTGTGGGGACATTTTTTGAGCTAGGTCTTAAATATTCCAGGATGGTCTCGAACTTGGTACATAGCTGAGGATGGTCTTGAAGTTCTGATCTCCTGCCTCTAAATCTTGAATGCCAGGATTACAGGCATGTACCATCATGCTCGTTTTATGTGATGCTGGAGTTCAAATGCAGGGCCTCATGCATGCTAGGTGATAGGTGATCCCTCTACCTACTGAGCTACATCCCCAGCCCTGCCCCCATTATATTTTATATGCACCCAGCCGTCCTGGAACTCACTATGTAGATTAGGCTGGCCTTGAACTCACAAAGATTCGCCACCACACTCAGCATGAGCCACTTTTTAAACTTATCAAAAATAATTGTTTCTTGTCATTCTTCTAGGGGAACCTATGATATTTTAGTAACAAAAGATAACCAAACGCGTTCTGTTGGTCAGTATGACAACCGTGGCAGTTTTGGAGAACTAGCTCTGATGTACAATACTCCGAGAGCTGCTACCATTGTCGCCACTTCGGAAGGCTCTCTTTGGGGATTGGTAAGTGAGAGAAATGCATGGTTTCCTGCTAATTCCCCTTACCTCTCTGCCCTTGAGCTCTCAGTCCACACTATCTTTCATTAGCCTATTGTGTCCTAATACTGGTGTCCTGGTTTGTTTCTTCATTGCTGTGACAAAACACTCTGACCACTACCAGCTTGGGGAGGAAAGGGTTTATTCAGCTTACATCTCCCAGGTTGCAGTTCATCAGGGAGCCCAAGGTAGGAGCTGGAGCGCAGGCCATGGAGGAACTCTGCTTACTGGCTTACTCCCCTGGCCCCTGCTCAGCCTGCTTTCTTATACAACACAGGCCCACCTGCCCGGGGTGGCACCACCCACAGTGGGCTGGGCCCTCCTACATCACTCATCAAGAAGATGCCCCTCAGACATGGCCACAGGCCAGTCCAATAGAGGCAATTCCCCAATTGAGGCTCTCTCCAACCCAGGTTTGTCAAGTTGACCCTAAAGCTATCCAGCATAACTGGTTTTTCCATTTTCCTCAAAAAGACCATTTTTTTTTAACAAACCAGTTACAGAAACATGAATGGGTCTTATAACCTTATAGTAATATATAGCTCTTACTACATTTTTTTTTGTTTTTGTCAGACATATGCAGAGAGAAGATATAACTATACAAAGCAGCCTAGAAACCAGGTGTTATGGGCACACCTGTGATTCCAGCACTCAGGAAGGCCAGCCTTGGCTATGTAGTGAGACTCTTGTCATTCATACAAATGTGCATACACAAAAGTAAGAGGAGGACAAGGAAGAAAACTCTGTTAGTATCTCTAGTTCTATTTCTAGATGTCTCTGTACCAATTTACTGTGTGTTCAGACATCTACTTGTCCTTTGGTCCATGCCAATATCCAGTAGACTTAGATCATCAGGAATACTGATGGCCACATTCAAGGATTTAAAAATTTTTATTTATGTGTATGAATATATTGGCTGCATGTATGTAAGTGCACCCGTGTTGTACAGTGCCCACAGAATACAGAAGAGGGCGTCAGATTCCCCTGGAACTGGAGTAATGGACAGTTGTTAGCCATCATGTGAGAGCTGGGAACCAAACCTAAGTCCTTTGCAATAGCAGCCAGTGCCCTCTGCTCTTAACTGCTGAACCATGAGCCATCTCTCCACCACCCTTTTAAAAATATTTTATGCAGGGTCTCCCTGTAAGCCCCAGCTGTTCTGGAACTCACTATGTAGACCAGGCTGGCCTTGGACTCACAGAGATCACCTGCCTCTGCCTCCCAAATGCTGGGACTACAGGCATGCGCCATCATGCACCACTAACAGAGTTTCTTAAATCATTTCCTACATTCCTACTTAGGGCAACTGCAACCATAGCTGTTGCACTAGGTCTCCGCCTCTTCTTTTTCTTACTTGAGTAAAAGTAGAAGCTTTGCTTCGATAATTCCTGGCAATTATAAGAGAAAGCAGCACTTCTTTTTTCATGTAAATTCAGGTCTGTTTGCTTTCCTGAGCATTTATTGCCTATAGAAGTTTGCTCATCACTGCTCTATTGGATGCTCCTCAGAATTTAGGTAGGTGTCTTAGGGATTTTTTTATTACCCTTCACAGCCATAGGAACTGGCCTTACACAGCATAAAATGAGAGTTCTGAGAAGTATGAAAGCTTGTACAAAGAGAATTGGAGTGGGCTGGGGTTGTAGTTCAGTTACTGAAGCACTTGCTTAGTATGCATGATGTCCTGAATTCATTCCCCAGTGCTGCATAAAACCAGGCATGGTAGCACGTTCTCTAGCTACATAGTGAGTTCAAGGGCAGTGTGGGTTACATGAGACCAAATGAATGAATGAATGAATGAATGAATGACCAAATTGGTGAATGACTGAATGAGCAAATGAATGAGTTACATGAGCCTGAAAAAAGAAAGAAGTAGACCCTGAATATTTGTTATTGTAGAAAGTATCCATTCTTTTCAGCTAGAAATATGTTTACTTTGTAACTGTAATGATCTTGGTAACATTATAGTAGATTATAAAGTAGGTTTTTTTTTGTTTTTTTGTCTTTTTGAGACAGGGTCTCCTTGTAGCCCCAGCTGTCCTGGAACTCACTATGTAGACCAAGCTGGCCTCGAACTCACAAAGATCCGCCTGCCTCTGCCTCCCAGGTGCTGGGATTAAAGGGGTATGCCACCATACCCAGCCTAAAGTACTTTTTTTTTTTTTTAACAATATCTGTTCAAACAAAGCTGGGAACTTTATAAATTTCATTTTCTCTGTCTTAATTGCCCTCTTTCCATAGTATTTTTGACCTGATTGGTTCAGAAAAACACAGAAATTGAATTATAAAGTTAAAGCCTGGCATGGTGTCACACGCCTTTAATCCCAGCACTTGGGAGGCAGATGCAGGTGGATCTCTGTGAATTCAAGGCCAGCCTGGTCTACAAAGCAAGTTCCAAGCCAGCTGGGACTACAGGAGACCCTGTCTCAAAAACACCAAAAAAAAAAAAAAAAAAAAAAGTTAATGGCATCATATTCCAAAGTATGAAAGTAGCATGTTAAAGGTGCATCCTTAACTTAGAATTTAAAAAGCAGTAGCAGATGATACAACCCATCATAGCATTCAGACCAAATAGCTCTTTTCAAGCAAACAAATGATGAAGAAAATGGAAAAGAACCTAACTAAATGCTACAGAGCTATATAAATAATATAGAGCTGTTTAGGGAGGAAAGGAGCCTGCCATCACCCACGTTAAGGATATAATTGACTTCTCCCATTAGACAGATGAATCATGGCATGGGAGAGTACATGGAATCCTGTGGCTTATGGAATATGAGCCACTGAAAACCATACTGTCTGCTATATATCTCTCCTCCCTACCTCTGCCCCATCATAAAGAATGCTAAAAATGATTACAGCTAAATGTTCTGTATACTCTCACTAACATTTGTCATCTTGTCAGTCTTTAAGTTTAGGATGTCATTGCTGTGTTTAAAGTTAAACAAAAACAACCAAAAAAAAAAAAAACCCAAACAAACAAAACCAGTTTCCCATTTCTGACAGCCAGAGGTAAAAGAAAAGTAATGTTAACTTAGATGCCAATAACTGTTTGCCCAGACTAAGCAGTTACCATCCTCCTGGCTTTCTGTGCACATATCTGAGAAGTGCCTGGTTGTAGCTCTGGTTAACTATCTCCTGATCAGGATCTGAATGCTGAGGTCAGAGTACTTTCCACCTGCCTCTTCACATGCCTGCTTTCCATCTTATCTATCCTCCCCTATGTCTTCATTACCCCTCTTTCAGGTCTCAAATTTATTTTTTGTTGCAAAATTATCTTTGATCATTCCTATCATGATCTTTCTCCCTCCCACTTGGAAATGCTGTTCTTTATTTTAGAGTTCAATTTTATTTTATTTTATTTTTTTACAGTACTGGAGATTGAAACCCAGGAGTTTGTGCATTCTAGGCAGGTGCTCTATCAGTAAGCTGCATCCCAACCCTTGTTTTTTTTTTTTTCCCCTTGGTCTTTTTAAGTCAATGTCCCAACTGTCCTGGAACTCACTATGTAGACCAGGCTTGCCTCAAACTCACAGAGATCCGCCTGCCTCTGCCTCCCGAGTGCTGGGATTAAAGGTGTGTACCACCACACCCAGCTCCTTTTTATTCTATTTTGAGACAGGATATCACTAATCTGCCCAAGATGCCCTCAAACTTTGGATTCTTCTGCCTTATTTTCTTGAGTGTTTGGGATTATAGGCTTGCACCACCATGCCCTGGTCTCCTCCCTGGAAATTATTGTGGCAATTGTCTTCTGTAGTTTCACCTAGCATATTTCAATTCAAATGCTGTCTTGAACTATAGATTTAAAATTCCTATATATTTTGTGTTTTGTTTTTGTTTGAGAATGGGTCTCACCATATAGTCCAGGCTGACCTGAAACTTGCCTTGTAGCACAGGGTGATCTTGAATTTGAGATTTTTTTGCCTCATCACTCAAGTGCTATAACCTATGGTATTAGATCACTGTGCCCAGGCCTCCTATATATTTTGTGTTGTCTTGTCATTATAATTGTAAATTTTTTGAGGGCAGACACCATCTGATTGTTTTATTTTCTCCTTTTTAAAATATTTTATTTTTTATTTTATGTTTATGAATATATTGCCTGACCTACGTAAGTGCACCTGTGTCGTGCAGTGCCCGTGGAGGTCAGAAGAGGGCGTCAGATTCTTCTGGAATTGGAGTTATGGATGGTTGTTAACAACCACGTGAATGCTGGGAATTGAACCCAGGTCCTCTGCAAGAGCAGCCAGTACTCTAACCACTAAGATGTCTCTCTAGCCTCCTACTTCCTCCTTTTCTAAAGGGTATCTTTTGGCCTTGAACAGTTTACCATGAGCCCAGATATTTAATGGGAGCCTTTTATTTTGTCTTCTATTTATGGCCCATAGGTGGCACCCACTGAACACCAGACAGCAAGACAGCAAGCTATAGTTTGTAGGGCTGCCTGGCTCAAGTTAGAAGTTTTTTTTTTTTTTTTCCAGTGATGACTGAAATTTAATTATTGTTAAATACTCTGTTGAGGCCTGGGGAGATGGCTCAACAGTTAAAAGCACTGACTGCTCTTGGAGAAGACCCGGGTTCAATTCCCAGCACCCACATGGAGGCTACGAACCATCCTTAACTCTAGTTCCAGGGGAATCTGAAGCCCTCTCTGTCCTCCACGGCATTGCACGACACGGGTGCACTCACATACATGCAGGCACTACACTCATACACATAAAATAAAAATAATAAATATTAAAAAAAAAAACTCTGTTGATACACTAACTTCCATAGTCCTCTGGTGTTTGCATTGGTTCAGTTACTTAAACCATAGATGTTCCCTTACACAGACATGTACTAGAATTTTCTTGTTCTTTCTTGTAGGATCGGGTGACTTTTAGAAGAATCATAGTGAAAAACAATGCAAAAAAGAGGAAGATGTTTGAATCATTTATTGAGTCTGTGCCACTCCTTAAATCACTAGAGGTAAAGTCTGAATAAGAATCTGATTATGGGCTGGAGAGATGGCTCAGCAGTTAAGGAACACTGACTGTTCTTGCAGAAGACCCAGGCTCGAATCTCAGCACCCACATGGCAGCTAACAACTGTCTGTAACTCCAGTTCCAGGGGATCCGACAGCCTCTTCTGTCCTCCATGGGCATTGCACGACATGGGTGTACTTACCTACATGCAGGCATAACTCATGCACATAAAATAAAAATAATAAATAAAATATTTAAATATATATATATTTTAAAGAATCTGTTTATGAGAGTTAGGAAAAGCTGTTAAAGCTACTCTTAGATTTTCAAATAATACTGTTCTACTTCAGTTCTATGACAGTGATATTCAATTAAGGTCTTTTCCTTGTAATATATAACTGTATCCCTGTTTAGGTGTCAGAACGAATGAAGATTGTGGATGTGATCGGAGAAAAGATCTATAAAGATGGAGAGCGAATAATCACCCAGGTAAGCAGGCTCGCACAAATCTGAAAGTCATCATCTTAAGGAACAGTGCATTACTTGTCTCCTACTTCTTCTGTGAGCTGATTATGGTGACATACACCAGTAATCAGCACTTAAGAGATTGAGGCAGTAGGTTCACAAGTTCAAGGCCAGTCTGGACTTCATAGTGATACCTTGACTCCAAAAGAAGACAAAGACATCCACATCTTCTACTATTGAAAGCTTCTGTTACAAAGTCACCCCACCTACAGAGGTTTCTGAAGCCCATTGATGCTATCTCACTGATACATGCAGATCTCTTGCTGTTCTTTTTTTTCTTTTTTCTCTTTTTTTCTTACTTGGGATTGAACCCAGGGCTCTCATATGCCAGGCAAGTATTCTACTAATGAGCTACATTTTCAGCCCTCCTTTTTTTTTTTTTTTTTTTCCTGAGACAGGGTCTCCCTGTAGCCCCAGCTGTCCTGGAACTCACTATGTAAACCAGGCTGACCTCGAACTCACAGAGATCTGCCTGCCTCTGCCTCCCAAGTGCTGGGATTAAAGGCATGTACCACCACACCTGGTCATTTTTATGTTTTTATTTTGAGACAAACTATCATTTAAGTTGCCCAGTCTTACTAAGTTGCCTTGAACTTTCAGTCCTCCTACCTCAACCTCCCAAGTAGCTATGATTACTGTGCCACCAGGCTCTGCCTTTCATTTAGTTAGGAGTGGGGGAGTGGTGGAGTGGGGGGCTGCTTCCACTGTTTGTTCTTTTTGATGTTATTTTGTTTTGGTCCCAAGTAAAGTAGCTTCATTTATCTCTATTGAAATCTAGAGAGGATTGGAGGGTTGTGCCCTCTGATGTCTATGTCTATGGGATGTCTTTGTGTTTGGCACAAAGACATCCTCTGGGCTAATGCAAAACCAGAATCCTTAGCATTTTGTGATTAACCAGCTCTTAAGAGGTGTAAGATGTCCTTAATATTTCCTTTGTGTCTTTCTTGTTATTTTTGGGAACTTAAGAATCACCATATAGTTGCCTGGACTGTTAATGATTAAAGAGTACAAGGTGGGCATGGTGGTGAACACCTGTAATCCCAACACTTAGGAGGTGGAGGCAGGTGAAACAGGTTCAAGGCCACCCTCCTCAGCTACATAGTAAACTCAGGCCCTCCTGGGCTACATGAGATATCTCAAAAAAAAAAAAGAAAAAAAAAGAATGCTGTATAATAATTTTCTCTGTCTACTGTATTTGCATTTAATTATATGTGAGTAGTTTTAGGGACTTTTCTAGGTGTACCCTTCTCTGTGGATCTGACAAGACTGGGAAGATTTCTGTTTGGGCTGAGTTGTTCTTGTTCTTGAATACAGAGTTGAGATCAGAAGGAGGAATAATCAGATTGGTCAGATGTGAATCCCAGGAACTGGTCCATCAGATCTTTGAGGACTAGTAAACTTATCATAAGAGAAGAAAGCTCCCGCTAAAAGGGATAAAGTACTAACAAAAATTTGATGTCAGTTCTAAATGACATCTCTAAATGTTTTTGTTTTCTAGATACCCTTATTGTTAATAATTACTTAAATTAGAAATCTGTTTCATTATATAAATGAAATCTGTTTCATTATATTCATTAGGATGAATAAGACTAACAAGCTCTAATAAAACATATGAAGGAAAGTTAAAAAATAGAAAAGGAAAAGATCTATATGATTTCATAGAAGAAATGCCATTTGATCAGGGCTTAAAGAGAACATGCAATTTCTTTTTTTTTTTCCTATAAAATATTAGAAGTTTAAGCCAAGTGTGGTGGTGCACACCTTTTATCCCAGCACTTGGGAGGCAGAGGCAGGCGGATCTTTGTGAGTTCGAAGCCAGTCTGGTCTACATAGTGAGTTCCAGGACAGCTGGGGCTACAAGGAGACCCTGTCTCAAAAAGACAAAAAAAAATTTATAGGTTTATTCAAAACTCAATTCTTACTTTGAGTATATAAAATACAAAATTCACAAATGTTCATTTTAAGTTTGTAGTTTGCAAAGTAGCCAGGGGAATCCCAGCACTCAGGAGGCAGAGGCAGGCAAATCTCAGTGAGTTTGAGGCCAACCTGGTCTACATAGTAAGTTCCATGCCAGCCAAGGCTACATATTGAGACCCTGTCTCAAATATATACACATACATACATACGTACATACATACATACATACATACATGTTTATATTAATTGAAACAAAAAAAGACCCTCACCAAGTGGAAGCACATAACTTATGTAGCACAGGTGGCTCTTTCCAGAAGTTAACTGTGAGCAATGAAAGGGTGAAATATGCCAGAATTCCTTTTCTCCTGTGTCTGCTTACCTCAGTCTCACCATCTTCGATCTTTTCTTTAAACCTCCCCATCTCAGTGAAGCTGTGTTGTATATAGTAGCCAGTCCCTCTACCAGTGTTTTAGATCCCATGGCCCCTGTTCTTTTCTTGAAGCACTTACCATCTTCTAATACAACTGTGTAATTTATTGAATCATTGTATTTGTTGATTTGTTTACCCTGCCCTACTATAAGTTCTACAAGAGCAGAGATACTTGTTTTGTCCACAGATATATCCCTCATGTCTCTAGGAGAATGTCTGCCACATAGAACTTAGTAAATTATTTGTTGAATTGCCTGAATGACTGGTTCAGCCAGGTAGTATAATAGCAAAAAAAGTCTGAAGCTTGTATGGATGGTATCAAAGTGCCTTCTTCACCAAGACAGAGCCACCCAGATCCATGCTGTTTATGTATATGTGCATGCATGTGTGTGAAGTCCACAGGACAACCTTAGACTTGTGTAGGTACTATCCACCTTTTAAAAAAAAAAAAAGAAAGAGAAAGAAAGAAAGGAAAGAAAGAAAGAAAGAAAGAAAGAAAGAAAGAAAGAAAGAAGAAAGAAAAAGTAGGGCCTCTCTCTAACCTAGAATTTGCCAAGTATGCTATGCTGGCTAGCTAGCACACCCTATGGATTTGCCTACCCAGCACTAGATTTGCAAATGTGTACCACCACACCTGACCTTTTTTGTGGGGGTGGGGTTTTTTAGGGTTTCCCTATAGCCCTAGCTGGCCTGAAACTCACTATGTAGACCAGGTTGGCCTCAAACTCACAAAGATCCACCTGCGTCTGCCTGCTGAGTGCTGGGATTAAAGGCATGTATCACCATGCCCCCCCCCTTTTTTTTAATGTGACTTCTAGGGCTTGAATTCAGGACATTGTACTTGGCTTACAAAGCTTGAGCTATCTTCCCCTACCCTTTCTTGTGGGCTGCATTTGTTGATCAAGATTTTTGCTGGTTCTTATGCTTCAGGAGTCACCTTGACACTGTGTAGTATTCTTGGTTACTGGTCCCTGGCATGTGTTTCAGCAGACCAACATGGACTGTGTAGTTGGCAACTTGGACATATTGTTGAAGACAAATAACAAATAGGATCAGTCATAGTTAGGTTAAATAATCAGGATCCTCTTATTTTGTTCTGAGTTTGCTAGTTATTGACTTGTGTAGTTGGAGATAAATACAGTTCTAGAGGTCAGGCAGTGTTTCTTTTCAATGCTTATATATGACTCTCCTCTGACCTTCTCTTTTCAGGGTGAAAAGGCTGATAGCTTTTATATTATAGAATCTGGTGAAGTAAGCATCTTGATTAGAAGCAAGGTGAGTTTGATGGTGTGAAGATCTGAGTGCCGGGTGACTGTAGGTAAATGTTTCCTTTGCATAATGTGACCTGTTCTTTAGTGAACCAAGCCATCATTGTTATATGAGGCATGTGACTGCCACTGATAGAGATTTAGTACGTTTACTTCTTCCACTTTTGCCTTGTCATATAATTAGTAAGACGATGAACACTAACCTATAAATAATTTAAAAGATCAAAAGCGCTGGAGAGGGGTTGGAGAGATGGCTCAGCGGTTAAGAGCGCTGGCTGTTCTTACAGAGGACCCAGGTTCGATTCCCAGCACCCACATGGGAGCTAACAACTGTCCAAAACTCCAGTTCCAGGGGATTTGACGGCCTCTTCTGTCCTCCGTGGGCATTGCACGACGTGGGTGTACTTACCTACATGCAGGCAATACACACATACACATAAAATAAAAAATAATAATTAAAAAAAAGCACTGGAAAAATGGCTCAGTGGTTAAGGACACTTGTTACTTTGGTAGAGGACACAGATTCAGTTCTCAGCACCTACATGGTATCTAACAACTATAACTATAGTTCCAAGGGATCCAACGCCTCTTCTGTCCCCCTTGGGCACTGTATTCACATGGTATATACTTACATACATGCAGGTGAAACATTCATACACTTAAAATAAATCTTTTTTTTTTTTTTTTTTTTGCAGTCTTTTTGAGACAGGGTGTCCCTGTAGCCCCAGCTGTCCTGGAACTCGCTATGTAGACCAGGCTGGCCTTGAACTCACAGACATCTGCCTGCCTCTGCCTCCCGAGTGCTGGGATTAAAGGCATGTACCACCGTACCCAGCTTTAAAATAAATCTTTTTAATTAAAAAAAAATTTAAAGAAATAAAAGGCCAGGCTACAGGGAAACCCTGTTTCAAAAAATACAAAAATATTTAAAAAGCCGGGTGTGGTGGCGCATACCTTTAATCCCAGCACTTGGGAGGCAGGGGTAGGCGGATCTTTTGGAGTTCCGGGCCAGTTGGGGCTAAGGGGAGACCCTGTCTCAAAAAAAAAAAAAAAAAAAAAAAAGAGAGAGAGAGAGAGAGAAAGAAAACCTAATACATACAAGAAAATTATTTAATAGGCACACAGAGGGTTGAAGATGAAGAAAGCGTCTCTGAATTTAGAATACCGCTGGGGAAGTCTACGGTATGTTACTATTATGGCAATTTAGGAGCAATGTAGAAAAATTGATGACCTGTAAGTGGAAGGAGTAGTTTTGTTTTTTTGTTTTTTGAGACAGAGTCTCATGTAACCCAGACTAGCTTCGAACACATTGTGTAACCAAGGATGACTTTGAACTTCTGATCCTCTTGCCTCCACCTCTTGAGGATTGTAGGCATGAATCACTGTTCTGGGTGCTGGTGATCAAACCCAAAGCTCCATGCATCCTAGGCAAGCATTCTGCCAACCAAGCTACACCCCCAGCAGGGGAGGAATGATACTAATAAATCCATCATAGCAAAATTTCTGTTTCCTTTTTTTATATATATATATATGGAAAATAGTATTTGTTAAAATAACAAGTTACATATATATACTGTTAGGGTTCGAGAATCGAGACTAATTCCCACAGATACCCAAAAAGATTATACAAAAAGTTTATTCAAGAATTTAAGGGAAAAAAAAATGGCAGCTAGCTGGGTACAGACTTCACGAGTCAAAGATGGGAGTCTGGCCCTGAACAATAGCAGGCAGGAGCTTTTATTAGGGCTCTCCACAGAAACCCGCGTGCACCAAGCATCTTTTTAAAATAATTGGATGTCCCCATATCCTGTGTATGGGGGATGTCTTGATTGGTAGGGGCTGTCTTCAGGCATTGGAATGTGCTGACTAATATCTTTTAGAGTCAGAAGTTTTTGTTCATACCTTATAAGGCTTTTACATGTACAATATGCCTGAGCTTGTCTGGGCTTGTCTAAAGAAGCTAGCCAAAATGGAGTCAGAGCATTCTGGCTCTTCAGATTTAAATGAGTATACTGTGACTGCAGTTGGACTGTCTGAATCCGTTCTCGGATGAATTTGAGCAAGGCATTAAGAATACAGGGGCCACAGGTGACTGCTAATAGGAGTAAGAGGAGAGGTCCGACTATTGCTGAGATCAAAGTTGTTAACCATGGGACCAGTCAAATATTGATTCGTACCAATTTAATTGATTTAGTCGTTCATTTTCTCTTTCCTTAAGTCTTTTACGGACCTCAGCCAAAGACTTTTATAACTCCCGAGTGATTAACATAGAAACAGGACTGTTCCCCTAGGGCAACACGCAATCCTCCTTTTTCTAGAAAATGTAAATCCAGCCCTCCTATTTTTTAAGGTTACCTCAGCTAAAGAGGATAGAGAGTCTTCGAGGTGGTGGATAGATGTTTCTAATGATTGTATGTCTAAGTCTATAGCTTGTCTAAGAAGGTGATAATTTTTATCCTGAAGGACTAGCGCTGAAGCTCCCAGACCAGTTACAGTGGTTACCCCGACCTCGAATAGACAAGACAACTGCAGTGGTTCCTATGGCCCTACAAGGTCTAGACTCTTCTGAGACTCTGGTTTCCATTTCTATGTCTGTTCTATAATATAGATGGGGGGAAAGCCGCACTAGTACACAAAATCCGTGGTCTGGTTTAAAATGGATGAGTGGAGGCATGTAGTTAAGCCGGAGGTACAGGCCCACCAAGTGGAGTTGGGGGGCACCATATATGGGTTAGGTGTAGTAGCCCTATCTCTTGAACAGAGTTACATAGATGTTGGTAAGAAGGGGGGACAATTTTATGTGAGGGAGTCATGCATAGCCCTTTTCCATACACTTGGGTGAGGGTATGTCCCCTTCTCCCTGTAGGTGGGGGGATTCTATAGGCAGTGGGGTCAGAAGTGACAACATAATTTCCTGGGAGAGCTAACCCATCATAAAAGGGAGGGCTCGGGTCCATGCAAAACCAGCAATGGATAGTAAGGTTAAGGGAAGTATTATTCAAAGCAATAAAGGTGGTATTTAGGAAGTTCGTAAGCCCAGGGGATGGTTGCAAGGGCTCTTGGACCCGTTGGATCTCTGGGGGTGTGGATCTAGGTGTGGGCAAAATAGCAGTTTTATCCAGCCGGATAATTTGGCTAGGAGCTGGTCTCTCGACAGATTTAAAAATAGTTAAGGCCAGTGTTGGTCGTCCTATAGGCTGTAACACTGTCTGAGCAGCCCCATCTGGGTCCCCACGACTGGACCCACCTGAAGATGGACTGAAAAAAGTATTCCTGGATCAGTCCCTGTGGTGTATAACCTGAGGCCCCAAGTTCACCCATCAATCCATTTTTGTAGGTTTTTAAGTTCCTTTCCTTTCGTGGCAAAGCTTAAGGAGATAGGGTTGCATCTAGAGGAGGAACAAGGTCCCTCGATTGCCTTGATCTGGGGTTTTGTCAAATGGTTAGGCCTGGGACCATAGTTACCTGGAACAAGTCGGTAGTGACGGGGGCAGCCCAATTAATATATCCAGTAGACACACAGCTCCATGAAGCACAGAAATAGTCCCATGGCCACCCGACAGGTACTTCTTCGGTCATCATTGATGCCCGGGCAAACATAGAAGTGGTGCTCCTTCATCCTCTTTCAGCCGAGGGGAGACTGGCAAGCATAATTTACAGTGCTTGACAGGGTGTACGATTCCCAAGCTCCTTCAAGCAGGTCACAGAGGTCGAATGTAATCTTGGGGAACCAGGCACCTGGAGGTCCCAGGTGGGAGGAGATGTTCACTATCCAGTGGATGTGCTACTAACTACCCAGGTGAGGTTTTGGAATCCATGGGGGTAGTTAGCTTGGGCAGGCTCTATAAAAAAATAAAAATAAAAAAGCAACAAGGGTTATGGTATGGCAGAGATTTTTAGCTTGAGAGGATTTTTACCCGTGTGACCTTCCATCTCTTGTTGACTTGGTCTGACCAACCTTCTGATGCAGGCTTTAGATGTGAGTGATATATCCGGGTCCAGATACTGGCCACCTTAACCACAGTAGGGGTGGTGAGGATCACGATGTGTGGCCCCTTCCATCGAGGTCCAAGGGGCTCCTTGTGGTGCCATCTCACCCAAACAAGGTCTCCTGGCTTGAATCTGTGTGGTTGGGCTGGTGGCAGTTCGTAGATGTGCCTCAGCAAGGGGAAAACATTGTCTTGTGCAATCTGTAAGGCCTGTAGGGACTTAAGAAATTGGGATTCAGACAAGTCAATTAGCACATCTGAAGGCAGCTTGGGAAGCAAAGGGGGTGGTCGGCCATACATGATTTCATAAGGTGTTAGGCCTTGAGTATATGAGGTATTTCTGACCCTGTACAGGGCAAAAGGTAGGTGGCCTGTTCAGTCATCACCAGTTTCTAGGGTTAATTTGGTCAAGGTCTCTGATTCATTCTCTCTACTTGCCCTGAGCTCTGGGGGTGGTATGCACAATGTGGTATGTGCAATGCATCTTCCAATTAGTCCCCAGTGTTTTAATTAACTCTTGAGTTACCTTAGCGATGGAGGCTGGTCCATTGTCTGACCCGATCACAGAGGGGAGCCCACACCTTGGTATTAGTTCATCGATGATCTTTTTAACCACCGTTGAGGTGGTTTCCCCCTTTGTGGGAAACACTTTGACCCATCCTGAAAATGTATCTACAAAAACTAGGAGATATTTATAGCCATACCTGCCAGGTTTTACCTCAGTGAAGTCCACCTCCCAATGGACTCCAGGTGCAGTGCCCCTCTCCCTTCTGGCTGGGGGCATGACTTTTCCTCTTGGATTAGTAACCTGGCAGGAGCGACATCTGGAAAGACAGCTCCCAGTCATTTTGGTTAGATCGAAGATGTGGTAGGGAGTCAGGAGTTCTTGTAACTTTCTCTTTCCTAGGTGAGTCCCTTTGTGAAGTTTATATATTAAGTCCTCTGCCAGCTTATGCGGCAGAATGAGCCTCCCATCAGAGGTTTATCTCCATCCATGCTTGATCTTGGTATTTTCCAG